TCTTCTCTCTCAAATCTTCATCCACAAACAAGCAGGAAATGTTAAAATTTAACTGAATTGATCAGGCGTATGCAAAAAAAAACTTCTCGGATCAGAATTTTCGGGACACAATGCATCGTTTGCTTTACGAATTAGTATACTTCATTGTATCCGAGCATTGTTTCCTCTTGTTCTTCAGGAAGCTCTGGAAGCGCTCCAGATTCTCGGGAAACGGAATAGATGTTGCGGTGGTCCCGAGTGGGCAGATTTCTAACGGTTTGTTCCTCTCTAGGATGTACGTTTGTGTGTGTGTGTGGGTGCGCTCTTCTGTTTTGTGTGTATGTATGCATATGTATGTTTGTGTGTATGTGATCGATGCACTCAGTATTGAATATATAGGCATGCGGTGAGTAATAGACGCGTGACCTAGATGCGAGTGTGACCTAGTGATGGCGGGTTGAACGACCCGGCTCGCGCGAGGCAGCCGCAATTATCTACATATTTCGGTTACAATGTTTGTTTATTTCATCCTGGCGAAAGTAACTGAAGCCGTCCGTGCGCAACGATCGCGCACTACTAATTCCCACCGCAAACACACACACCGCACACACAATCCAACAACAACGACACCGATGCATCCATCCATTCTATACTGCAACCTTCATCATCATCAACAACAACAACAACAATAGCGGCAACAGCAAGAGTTGTACCATCTCCTCTGTACGAAAATTTAAAGGCCTGGCCAGAGCCCATCGAATCCGAAAGATGATTCCGGTATTTTTAATCGCGGCGCTAAGAGCTTCGAAATAGACCTCTCTCTCCTCTTCCCGGGTCAAAAATCTCGCACTAGATTCCCGTTGTTTTTCACAGCTCTGCCAAAATTTCACGGCTACAAACTACCCACGAGAAGAAACCACAATCAATATCTCGCACGTACTCATACCCAAAAGTCTTAAAAACACATAAAACTCATAAATTTCACCAGTTTATGAAAATCTATTTGAAAAATTTCACATTTTAATAATTTGCTTACGTAGAACATCCAAATATTTTCTCTTATTTAATTAAATAATGAAATTTCAGAATTAATATACAAAAAAAAACACTGAGTTTTGTTGTAATCTTTTGCAAACGTTTCGAATTGTATGTCAACAACCTCTAGATGAGAACGTCCGTGATCCGAAATCGTTGGACCTCATAGTAAAACCATACTCAATAAAAAGATCTTCGTCGATTAAATAAACCGAATATTGGTTTATTTAATCGATGAATGAATTCATTTTCGCTCTCGCCTCAGATCTGGGGTTCATTTACCCAGACGCAATTGGACTAACTCAATAAAAAAATTACGAAACGAAAATATAAAAAAGAAATACAACAAATATATCACTTTGCTACATTTAAACTCTTGGCCTCGAAGTTTTATTAGCATTTAAATTGCTTTAAAAAAAAAAGAACCCACTAAATTATAACAATTTTTTTTAAAATTTAATGTCTATTTACAATTCTTAGAGATTATAATTAAATGTTATAGTAACATATGAAAAAAACCCTTTGGAAATTTGTGTTAGGATTTCTTGAAAACAATAGTAAATATGTGAATATTACATTAATTTTTATGGAAAGAGAATCTAGGAATTGGGTTTTTCGTATCCGTTGAAAACACGATAATAAAAATAATTATGAAGCACACATTCGAATGGGAGGAAATTCCGGATAAACTTTCGTAGATTAAGAACGAAACACCGATTGTGGAACAAACATGTTTTCTTTCCTTCATTGGTCACCCCAATAATAAATTTAAGTAATTTAATTGTAATTGTTGATTAACATATCTTTTGGGTGCACTGATTATTTGTATCAATATGGGGGTAGATAATACTATTATATTTTTGGTATGATTGATGAAGATGAAAACTGTTGGGGTGTTTAGAAAAAGATGTCTGTAAATTGAGGAGCGCTCGAAGTGTTCTGTTGGAAAGGCTTTGGAGATAGTTTTTTTTATTATCTTAAACATGTTCGGTTCTACCAAAAGATCAAATCTCCGAGTATTTATTGCATGGTATTTAAATGTTATGGGAGACGACGGTGTCCGTCCAGTTGGACGAGCGTCTGTACTGGTTTGCGTGCTAGTTCTTTGGGCCGTCGAAGATCCACGGCGAGCAGCAAAAGGAATGCACCGAACGTAGCGAGGATTATCTAATAGGCCGGAAAGGTGCGAGAATTAGTTGTTGCGTAACGCGGCGCGAGTATACTGTGTGTGTAGTGTGTTGTTCCCTCTTCAATTCTTTCTTTCTTTTTATTACTTCTTCTTTTTGGGGGAAGACAGAGAGCGAAAAGAAAGAGAGAGGGACAATGAGTGATGGCCGAATGCGTGAGTGTGCTGAGCACGGCTGATGGTGCTGCTGCTGCTTCTGCCGGTTCGTCGACCCCGGGTTGGGTCACTGGGTTACCAAGAATACTGGGACACACAAAAAATAGTTCCGTTGTTCAAAAACCTACGCTGCCGAGGACGAAGAAGCGAGGACAAGCTCTTCCTCTCTTCTTCTACTCTTCACCTTTTCTTCTTCATTCCTCCTCTTCGCGCGACGGTTCATTCTTCGCGACGCGCGAAGAAGACGTTTTTCGCTTTACTTTTCTTTCTTTCTTTCTCTTCGTACATTTATTGTTTTTCTTTTTATTATTCGCGCTCTAAAGGAAAAGTGACCGGCGATGGCAGCAGCAGCTTCAGCCACTCTCCTACCTGAGAATAACTCGCGCTTATAAATAGTGCCTTTATAAATATAGAGAGTTCCACCCGAGTATTAAGTGCGCCACATGCTGGTAATACTCGATTAATTTTAATCGCGCAAAGCAGCCGTGAACTTGCACGCGCAAATTCCAAACGCTTTTCTAATAATCTCCAACAGTTTTTGCTGTATCAGAGAGGATGAGTTAGATCCAGACGAGGCTCTGCTGTGGTGGCAGTAGTGGAGGCGTCGATTGATCGCCAACCCCATCCACCACCACCACCACCGGACGGTCGAGCCAATCGATTTGTTATTGGTTCGGTCAACGAACTTATCCTATCATCACCAATTGAGCGAATTTCGTTTTTCGAATACCCGGGTCAACGGCTTCAAACTTTTATTATTATTATTAGTTTTTTCTTTTCTGGAAGCCAATTGATATCGCACATACACGCACTTCCTTCTTTCGTCATTATCCATATCCGTTTACTTTCAAACATTAATATCAACAGTACGTTTTTTTTTGTTCGATGCTACATTTCGTCGAAACCTTACGAAATAAGTATTACGTACTCTATAATCTTTGAAAGTAATTCTCAATTACTTTAAAAGAAATCTTATAGTATAGAATTTCAAGCAAAACGCGAAAATATTGTTATTATTTATAATTTGGATTCTTGATTCAATTAAATTTATGTAAAGTATTGGATTTCTTTGTTCGAACCCTCTAATAATAAATTCATAATTGTTTTATTTTTATTTTTAATGAAATCACTAGTAATTATTATATTGGGATTCCCAACTAATAAGTGGTCATAATCTTCTTTGTCTATTTCGTTGCTGAGATTAGTAAGTTTGTAATGATGGATTCCAAAAAAATGTATTCAATTTATAATGAATTTAAAACTGTGTTTTTTTTTCATGAAATAGGTCAAACATATATATTTTCTTTAGTTGATTATTACTACAGTTATATGAACTGATAATAGTTGTCAGACAGATGCTCAAACAAACTAAACTAATCTTGATGTGGGTTTCTCTATCAATTCCATCAATGGTTTGATTTTCGATTCAATGAAATATATTCATTCGAATCTATTAGAGATATGCGTAAACTATGAAATAATGCTAGTATTATCATTATTTAATGAAATCGATCGATTTATTATTAGTTCGGTCAACGAACTATTACATGTTGTCATCATCATCATCATCATCATCATCAATTACGCGAATTTCGTTTTTCGCCTTCTGCTTTCGGGACCATAAATATATATTATCGGGTCAACGGCTCTGGCGTTTGGGGAAGCCAATTGAAGATGGGTCAGATGTCGGTTCTCCAACCCGTAGGAATTCTCTCACTCTGAACGCAAAAAGAAATTAAAAAAAAAATATATATATATATATACGCTCTCCATTGATTCGCCAAAACGCGAGAATTGGCTGTAATTGCATTTTCGTTAATTGCTCTTAAATGTTCGAGTGCGGTAATAGCTGCCAAATGAAATCTCATTGGCGAAGAAACGGACGATTGATTCGATTGATGATGATGATGATGTGTGAGTGCGCGACTTCAGCGCCGATGAATTATTCAATTTCTGTTTCTGTGGCGATTATGTATAATTAAAATCATTGTCTGTGCGTGTACATGTGTGTGTGTGTATGCGAGTGTGCGTATGTGTGGTAAATACATTCAACTGTACCTCTGCAGTACGTTGACCCCAAATACACACGCACACACGCACGCATTGGAGGTTTATTTTTAAATGATATTTTCTTATCTTCTTGGTTAATGGTTAATATATGTGTCATTCGATACAGCGTTTTTGGATGAAGATTAACCGAGTGCGCTGTGCGGCCGGCCGGTATGCCGACTGGTTGGTTGGTTGGTTTTGTTTGTAGATGAGATGGAGGATGTGTAGAATAATGATCTTTTGGTTGCGGTGGAAAGTGGTCTTTAGGATTTAGGTGTGTTTGGAGGTGATGTTTGAGGTGCGTTAAACTCCGGGGTCAAATGGGGTCGCGAATGGGGGGGTCAGAAGTCGTCCACTCGACATCGATCTGTGGGCGCTGCTGCTGGCTGCTGCTGCTGCACATAGAGAGTGCATAGATGCGCGAGGATAGTAGGCCGACGCGCGCCGTCGACTCCTTTTCCTCCTTCACTTTTATTGCATTGTTTACAATTGCAGCTCGTTGTTCTCCAACCAACCAACCATCCATCTATCATTCTGTAACGCAAACAATAAAAGCTGTACCATCGTTCTAATCTTCATCGTATTCTTGATTTAGGTTGGATTCAACAGCGGCGCATTTCCCATGTCTTATTCCGGAGAGCAGGCAGATGCCCGTCAGTTTGGCTTTCAGGGGGCTGACGGTGACCGTCGGCGGACGGCAGATTCTGCGAGACATCGATGGTTTGGTGAGGCCGGGGCAGGTTATGGCCGTCATGGGTCCATCCGGATGCGGGAAGACGACGCTCCTGAATTGTCTGAGCGGACGTCTGCAGCTCGATTCCGGGGAGATCTCTTTGAATCGGGAAGCCCTCTGCAAACGTTGGAAGCGGAAAATCTGCTACGTCCTACAGCAGGACATCTTCTTCCCGGATCTCACCCTGCGCCAGACACTCGAGTACACGGCCCGTCTTCGACTTCCCGACACCATGGCCCACACCCAGAAGATGCAGTACGTGGACCACATCATCGACGTACTCGAGCTACGCTCTTGCCAAGACACCATCATCGGCGACTACCTCAAACGGGGCCTCAGCGGAGGCGAGAAGAAAAGAGCTAACATCGCCTGCGAACTGCTCACCAACCCCTCATTAATGCTCCTCGACGTAAGCAACATTTTTTTAAAAAATTCTAACATCCATTTTTTTAATTCTAATAATCACCTACTTCAACCTAAATCTAATTCATTACTAATGATACCCATTCAAATATTGATGCCTCATACTGACAACAGCAATAAGTATTCAATTTGGTAATTCCATCAATTCAATTAAATCAATTCTTCGGATTAATTATGCAAATAAATTACTAATTATTGTTCTAATTCAGTTAATATTTGTGTATTTTTATCATACACAGTGATCATATTTGGGAAAAAAGAAATGACATATTAGAAATTGTTTCATCATTTCTACAAACAGGATACGTTTATTTGTTCCACTAAAATTTTAATAAAATATAATTATCACTATAATTTGGAGATGTTTAAAATGATTTTTTTAGAGCTTGGATGAATGAAATGGAAGTTTTACAGGAGTCGTCATTTTGTTGCCGTTCTTCGATTGTTTTTTTCGTAAAAATAAATTTATTGTTTCAGTTCACAAAGTTACCATTTTAAGGAACAAATCTGATGGATTTAGTGGTGTAGTAGAGGAGTTTCGTAATAGATAAAGGACGTATGATCACGTAATTTCAATTTAAAATCGAATCCTTGTTTTATCCAAAAATATATATTTTCATGATTGTAAGTAAAATGTGCAGTTTGTAGATATGATACATTTGATGATCTAATTTGAAATCCAAATAGAATACTGCTGTTGAATTCTTAAATCTTTGAATATATTTTCCTTTCCTTAATCTTTTTTTTTTCTCTAATATTCAGAAGTAAAATGTGAATTTCGTTTTAAAGGAACCGACGTCCGGTTTAGATTCGCATGCAGCTTACAATCTGATGACGACATTGAAAAGGTACGCGATGACGGAAGGAAAAGCCGTGGTGGTAACCCTACACCAACCTTCGAGTCAAATCTTCCATTTGTGCGATAAGCTTCTGCTTCTGTGCGGTGGACAGACTGCGTACCAAGGTGAGACGTGTCGAGTGGTGGATTTCTTCTCGAACATAGGTCTTCACATCATGCCGCACTACAACCCTGCCGATTTCATACGTAGGTTTATAATAATATTTGGAAGAGAGGAAATTACGGTGTGTTTCTTTGAATAGTGGAACAAGTGAAGAGATCGGAAGAGGTGCAGCAGAAGATAATCGCGGCGGCGGCGGCTGCGCGCGTCTCCAAAGAATATCCTGCGGAGCTGCAGGAGTTCATGTACATCCCGGAGAAGCTGGACGTCACGTATTCGCCGCACATAGAAAGTAAGTGTTAGCAAGTAGTTCGACGATGGAAATGAAGTTTAATGTTGTTTAGTTACGATAGAAGTGACGAATCCCGAGGATCTGAGCTCGCTGGATCCGGATGTGAGAAGACTGTGGATCGACACGAACTCCCATGCGTCCTCTTCGAGCAGCGAGACGAGCGACACGGAATGCTACTTCGCGTGGCCTACCAGTTTCTGGACGCAGTTCAAGGTGCTCTCGCAGCGGAACTTCCAGGAGGCGCGTCCGAGGATGCTGTCCAAACTGAATTGGGTGCAGACGATCGGACTGGGTATGCTCGCCGGACTCCTCTGGTTCCAGCTGGAGAGACGCGAAGAGGCTCTGCACGATATACAGGGTTGGATGTTCTTCTCGACGACGTACTGGATGCTGTTCGCGCATTTCGGAGCGCTCAGCTCGTTTCCGCCGGAGAGGGACGTGATCAACAAGGAGCGCCGATCCGGTGCATACAGACTGAGTGCTTACTATCTTGCTAAGATGGCCGGGGAGTTACCGTTGACGGTCACCCTCCCGGCCATCTACCATCTAATTTCCTATCCCATGTTGGGATTCCATTCTCCCGTCGTGTTCTTCACGCTGCTGGCCTTCCTCCTCCTCAACACCATCGTCGCGCAGAGCGTCGGCTTCTTCATAGGCGCCGCCTGCATGGACATGCAGCTGAGCATCACCATCAGCGCTCTCTACACGTTATCCACGCAACTGTTTGGAGGGTACCTAGCGACGAACATACCGGCGTGGCTCACCTGGATGAGGTATCTCTCGATGGTGCATTACGCCTACCAGAACATGCAGATCATCGAGTTCAGCAAAGGTCTTCCCATAATGTAAGTAACAACTACAACAACATCTTCATCAACCTTCTACAAGCAACTAAAATTTCAAAATCCTCAAACCAGGTGTTCGCATCAGAGCAAATTCGACGAGTGCTCAGAGTCCGCAGTCATCCCACCAACGGCGATCCTCGAGGCGCAAGGTCCGCACATGCCCCTGTGGATCAACACTTGCGTTCTGATGGCCTTCTTCCTGGTCTTCAGACTGCTAGGCTACTTCGTACTGAGGTACTTCCGCACTCCCAAGTGACCCCACATGTGATATACACCTGATGTACCCCCTAGATATTATTAGTAGAGAAGAAGAAAAAGAAAAACACGAAGGAAAAAGCACACAAGAAAAATAATAAAAGAAAACACATATAATAATTAATTAATCATTAATCAAACATTAAAACAAAAAATTGATGTACGAACCACACCAATCTGTACATATTAGGAATGTTATAGTCTTTGTTAAATCGGGACAATAATAAGTGAAGATGCATTTAGATACAAAAAGAAGAATTAAACAAATTAAAAAAAAAGAGTCGCAGAAGAAGAATTGAAAGCAAGAAAAGACGAAGGAAATAATCATTAAATAAATAGACTGATATATAAAAAAAATAAATAATTAATTAATTAATTAAATAAATAGTAATAATATAATTAAATTAATTGTGATAGGGACTATAACATTATATTATAACTTGTTGCCTCTATATAATCAAATCCTTTTTTTTTTTTAATATTATTAATTATTATTATTATAATATTTACGTTATTCTACTCTAATAATAATAATTAAAAACGAAAAATCACGTCATCACTTTCGAAAATCATTTGTTTTTTTTTAAACTAAACAAATAAATTAATTAAGAGAATAATGAAAAAAAAACACACACGACTGCTGAAAAAAAAGAAATTTGTAAATATTTTTTTAAATTTTTATTATAATTTTTTGTTCTATATTTCGTTTAGAAAAAGAAAAAACAAAACAAAAATCAATGGTAACAATACAAAGTAATAATAATATTCAAATTGTCCGGACAGTTCTCTCAGTGACTGCGATTTTACCTATTTTTTTTTTGTTTCTTATTATATATACATATACATATATATGTAACGCATCAATACATAAAAAAAAACAATTGAAGGTGTATGTATAAATGTATGTATAATTGATTATTATATAAACTACGGCTGTGCTATAAGTTATAAGTGTGTATGTGTTATTTAAAAAAAAGAAAGAGAGAGAGAGAAAACAATTGATGAGAATTCGTGAGAAAGAGAGAAATAAATAAAAAAAAACAATTGTGATCCATTCCTGGGCCGAAGACGACTGCTGACGCCCGACGCAGGGTATATTCCCCCCGAAGGTCTGATGATTCTTTGATAATATTTAATATTCTGCACAGTGCCTTGGTTTTACGAGTGCCAAGAATCATATACTTCATACAACTTTTTTTTTTAATTTTTAATTTTTATTAATAATTAATTAATAATATATCAAACTACTACTACTACTACTATTGTATTCAACTATATACATATTTATATATAAATATTATGATATAATATTTTTTATTTCGTCGTCGTTTTTTTTTTGTTTGTTTGTTTGTAATTACGATCAACCAGCTAAAATTGGAGCTGCCATAATTATTATTATTATAATCGTCGAGTGCGAGGACTGTGATTAATAACTAAAAAATAAATAATCGAGAAAGCCGCGGAGAGGAAATCATGATGCAAAGGATGAGAAAGAGAGACACGATAACATTATTTTTTTTTCCAATTTTGTTTTGTTTTTTTTTTGTTTTTTCCCATCCCACGATGATATTTGTTTTTTCTTTGTATTATAATTTGTTTATAATCAAAACAAAAAAAATATACGCATATTATAATAGATATAAATATTATTTTTTATGCTAAATAACTAAGGGTGTTTATTTTTTATTTTATTTTTATTTTTTTCTATGTAATTATTATTATTTTTTTTTATATTATTATTATTTTGTTGTTTATTGATTCTCTTGAATTACCTGAAAACGTGATTACCATCCCATCGAGTTTTAGTCAAAGCCAAGAAGAAGTCCGCTTCTTGATTCTGTATTATAACCATTATAAATAATAACAAAACAGACGCGAAATTCGAATTGTAAATAATATGACCTTTTTTGTTGTTGTTTTTTTTTGTATGGACCAAAACGGAAAGGAAAGAAAAAAGTTAATGAATGAATAAGTAAATTAATAGAGAGAGAGAGAGACGCAAATAAAAAGAATCGCTGCTAGTAATGAAGTAATTAAGTAAACAATTTGTTATTCATTATGTTTTTTTTTTAAATATAATCTAATTACTATTTTTTTTCGTCTTAGATTTAAGTTTTACTATATACATATTATATATATTTTTTTTTTCGTTCGTTCGTTATGTATATCAACCATTTACGATGATGATGACGATAATATATGTACACTGCATCATCATTAAATAATATATATATTATTATTATATTTTCTCTTGTATTTTGTATAGCGATTAAAAGTAGTGAAAGAATTGTAATCCTATTTGTAACGAGGAGAAAAAAACAATGAATAAAAAAAAAGTGAATAATAATCAATGTATTACCGATATTAGTTTGTAAGGAGACCAAAACTATTTCTACTGCCAGATTATTATTATTATCAACAAATAATAATAATTATTATATATATGTATACATATTATATTTAGCAAATCCGATTGTAACGAGGAAGTGTAATTAATTAATAATCATTGCCTTTCGTTTTTTTTTTTGTTAAGGCTTTGTTGTTGTTTGTTTTTTTATATACGCATTCTCGTATAAATACACAGATGAAATCGAAGACCGTGTCATATCGTTTGAAATGAATTGAAATATGTAATCATCACGGGTGGTGGAATTGTAGTGACCCGACGAAATACTCTTCCCAGCCCTTCCCGAAGGTTTAAATATGTATATTTGATATACATATATATATATGAATATAAATATAAATAAATATCATATTTTTTACGCATTAAGTTACTTCCAGTTTGTAATAAAGTGTACAAATGGTCTGTCTGTCTATATGTATGTATGTTATAGCTACAATCCTGGGGACTCTAGGATAATATTTATATAAATAAAGAGTTTAATAAAAAATTACAATTTGTGTTTTAATTAATAAATTAATTGAAAATCTAACGTAAATTTCAAATGTTCAAAGTCAACCGTTAATTTCAAATTTTGAAGAAATGTAGTAAATTTCAAATATTCAAAATTTACCGTTAATTTCAAATTATGAAGAAATGTAGTAAATATCAAATTTTCAGAAAATATACTAAATTTCAAATATTCAAAATCAACGGTAAATATGAAATATTCAAAATCTACAGCAAATTTCAAATATTAAAAATTTACCGTTAATTTCAAATTTTGATGGAATGCAGTAAATTTCAAATTTTCAAAATCTACGGCAAATATGAAATATGCAAAATCTACGGTTAATTTCAAATATTCAAAATCAACAGTTAATTTAGAATTTTGATGAGATGTAGTAAATTATTCAAAATATACAGTAAATTTAAAATGTTCATGAAATACAGTATATTACAAATATTCAAAATCTACGACAAATAAGAAATATTCAAAATCTACCGTAAATTTCAAATTTTCAAAATCTACGGCAAATATGAAATATGCAAAATCTACGGTTAATTTCAAATATTCAAAATCTACTGTTAATTTCAAATTTTGATGAAATGCAGTAAATTTCAAATTTTCAAAATCTACGGTTAATAACAAATGTTCAAAATCTACCGTTAATTTCAAATTTTGATGAAATACAGTAAATTTCAAATATTCAAAATCTACGGTTAATTTTAAATATTCAAAATCTACCGTTATTTTCAAATTTTGATAAAATGCAGAAAATTTAAAATATTCAAAATCTACGGCACATATGAAATATGCAAAATCTACGGCAAATTTCAAATATTCAAAATCTCCGGTAAATTTAAAATTTTCAAGAAATGTAGTAAATTTCAATTTTTCAAAATCTACAGTAAATTTCAAATATTCAAAATCAACCGTTAATTTCAAATTTTGAAGAAATATAGTAAATTTCAAATATTCAAAATCAACCGTTAATTCAAAATTTTGAAGAAATGCAGTAAATTTCAATTATTCAAAATCTACAGTATATTTAAAATTTTTGGAAAATATAGTAATTACAAATATTTAAAATCAACCGTTTATTTAAATTTTTAAAGAAATGCAATAAATTTCAATTATTCAAAATCTACAGTTAATTTCAAATATTCAAAATCAACCGTTAATTTCAAATATTCAAAATCAACCGTTAATTTCAAATTTTGAATAAATGTATTAAATTTCAAATATTCAAATTCTACGGCAAATATGAAATATTCAAAATCTACCGTAAATTTCAAATATTCAAAATCTCCGGTAAATTTCAATTATTTAAAATCAACCGTTAATTTAAAATTTTCAAGAAATACAACAAATTACAAATATTCAAAATCTACCGTAAATTTCAAATATTCAAGAAATACAGTTAATTTCAAATATTCAAAATCTAATATGAAATCAAATATGAAATATTCAAAATATACTGTAAATTTCAAATATTCAAGAAATACAGTAAATTTTGATGAAATGCAGTAAATTTCAAATATTTAAAATCTACCGTTAATTTCAAATTTTGAAGAAATGCATTAAATTTCAATTATTCAAAATCTACAGTAAATTTCAAATTTTCAAGAAATACAGCAAATTTCAAATATTCCAAATCTACCGTTAATTTCAAAATTTGAAGAAATGCAGTAAATTTCAATTATTCAAAATCTACCATAAATTTAAAATTTTCAAAATCAACAGATAATTTAAAATTTTTAATAAATGCAGTATATTTTCAAAATTTACTTATAATTCAAATATTGAAAAGAAAACAGTAAATTTCAAATACAAAAAAAAACTAATTTTTGATAAATATACTTAAAAAATTTAAGAGGGCACATACAAATTTAAAGAAAGTGATGAAAATACATGAAGAAAACCTATTGTTAATTCTCTATAGTCATTCTCAAAATAACTTTTTGGAACTATTGTATACAATTATTGTTCAAATGTATAAGTAATTAAAAATTACTAGAATTATTTATCCTTAAATCATCTACGATTAATGAACCTTAATTAATATTTGTTAAACAATAATAATTAAGTTAATACTTTATTACATTTCAATCAAAGTAATTTTCATCATGAAATTAAAATCAGTGATTCATTTTTTAAACACAATAATTGTGTCTTACAGTTTACATTACAAAGTTGTATTTAAGGCGAATGACCGAACCACTTTATGTTTGTATACGCGAAATAAAAATATTATTAGTAGACTGATCTTGCATAATCTTTCCGTTTGATCGTTCGCATCTCCTCCGGATTTGTTTATTATTCCACGTGTTTCAGTTTAAGAGCATTGCATATTTTTTCCCCTCGATCAGAGTAAACATCTTTTACGCAAAGCAAACCAATCATTTTTGGGAACAGGAACAATAATTGATAATATTCGCATCCTATGATGATATTACGATTCAGTTTGTTTGTTAGTTTTAACTAAATTTATTAATTTTTCACAATATCACGTATATATTTTGATTGTAGATATTGTTCATTTTCTGTTGATTTTACTTAAGTTTAATTACAAGAAAAATAGTCCTTACAAACAACGATTACGTCCATATTACATTCTTTATCCGTAACAACTAAAGCAGTTGTTATAGCAACAAAAGGATAGCTGTGTTCTTAATAACCAAAAGCCATTTTCAACAACTGTCACCGGTTTCATAGCAACCGTAAAGCGTTATTAGTAACGGGAATCGCGTGAGCTGGCTTTGAAAACTTATTAGAAATAATTCAATTTCTATGACTAAAATTCTAATAATGATCTGGAATGATTCTGAAATAATTATCAAATGTGAAATAGAAATATTATTATTGTATATTTTTTTGCTGAAGAGGTTATCGCAATCTTATCTAGGGAATTCAAGGATCAGTGTATAAAAATGAGCGCGCGAGTATTATTAGTTATTTCACTAAACCAATGTTGAAGTTCTTCGCAATTCTAATTTCGCGTTAACTAGTTGTTGAATGGAATTTGCAGATGTGTTATGTGATCAATGGAATTGGAATTTGTTGTGCTTTAAGAAGTATGATTTAACGTAGGCATCCACGAGTGCACCATCTCCATCGAGACTTCGATGGCACCAAGAATCCGTGGTTTCCGTTCACTTTTAAGTTCACGGTCGACCATCGGCTACCACCACTTGTTGCATATCGTTCTTCCAGACACGCGCGTGTCCGTCGAAGCAGCAGCAGCAGCAGCAACAACAGTGATGTGTCATTGTAGAGATCAGCAATTCAACAAAAAAGCAAAGATCAAGAAGCAGTGAGTAAAGCATATTTGCGCGACCAATTAGCACCCCACGAGCAAACAAAACGAGAGGAAGTGCCGCCCTTAATCCTCCTCCCATCATCAAACGCGATCATTTGCATCTCCACCGGTTTCTCTTTCGCCGCACTCTCTCTTTCTCTGCGCGCATCTCGTGATTTGACTACCGCTTCAGAGATGGCCGCGTGAAGAAGAAGAGCGCAATTTGAAAATGTGGATTAATCGCTTATCGCATCGGAAGGTCGTCGGGTTATTGTTATTGCTTTAATTCATCGCAAGAGAAGTCTTCTTCGGGCCATGTTAGGCGGTCCCATAAGAAAATGCAGAAAACTATGGCCATTGCTCATACTGCCCTTAGCCCTTCTGCTCATCGTGTTTACGACGAAGACATACTTAGATCAGAATGTTTCACCGCAGAAGATCGGCTTTAGGTATGTCGATATTGCAATCAAATCAATTGGTTTCAGTGTTAAACTTTTTTTTTTATTGAAGAAGTCGAACGCATCAGCAGGAGGAATATGTGGATAGAAACGGGATAAAGGTTGTAGTTGGACATTACATCGGTCCATCTGTGAAGAAGCTTCCGAACGCCTCGAGAGATATGATCAACGCCAACGATTTTGCTCCGGTCCGGGGCGCTGGGAAGGACGGAAGACCCGTGGTCATCCAACCCAAAGATCTGCTGAAGATGCAGCAGCTGTTTCAGATCAACCGATTCAATCTGCTGGCGAGCGACAGGATTCCCCTGAACAGGAGTCTGCCAGATGTCAGGAGGAAAAAGTATTTGATTTCACACAAAAACAATCCGAAATTAATTATTTCTTTTTAGGTGCCGATACTTGTACGAAGATTACGATACTTATCCGAGCAGTTCTGTGATCATCGTCTTTCACAACGAAGCTTGGTCGACGCTCTTCAGAACGGTTTGGAGCGTGATCAATCGATCGCCGCGCGAGTTGCTCAAGGAAATCATTTTGGTGGACGATGCGAGCGAAAGAGGTTTGTCCAATTTATTTTTAATTGATGAAAATGTGTTTGCTAAATCAGAGTTTTAGAATTTTTGAAAACGCCGTTGGATGAATACGTTAAATCGTTACCGGTTACAACTAAGGTGATTCGAAATTCCAAAAGAGTTGGTTTGGTGAAGGCTAGGCTTCAAGGAGCTGCGCGATCGTTTGGTGAAGTCTTGGTGTTTCTGGACGCTCACTGCGAGTGCACCAGAGGTTGGTTAGAAAGTTTGTTGGCGCGGATTAAGCAGGATAGGAAAACTGTAGTTTGTCCGGTCATAGATATAATTAACGATGATTCGTTTGCTTATGTTAAGAGTTTCGAGTTGCATTGGGGCGCTCTGAACTGGAATCTTCAGTTTAGATGGTACACGCTCGGTGGTAGAGAGCTGAAGAAGCGTAAAATGGATACGACTGAACCTTTTTTCACTCCTACCATGGCCGGAGGTTTGTTCGCTGTGGATAGGGAATATTTCCAAGAGATCGGCAGTTATGACGAGGAGATGCGTATTTGGGGAGGTGAGAATCTCGAGCTTTCGTTCAGAATTTGGCAGTGCGGAGGGAAAATCGAAATCGTCCCTTGTTCCCACGTTGGTCATCTGTTCAGGAAATCTTCACCGTACACCTTCCCCGGTGGCATCACGAAGACCCTCTACTCGAACCTGGCGAGAGTCGCCCTCGTCTGGATGGACGAATGGGCCGAGTTTTACTTCAAGTTTAACGAGAACGCGAGAAACGTTCGCGCCGATCAGAACGTGTCCAGTCGTTTGGAGCTGCGCAAAAGGTTGAAATGCAAGAACTTCGAATGGTATTTGGATAACGTGTGGACGCAGCACTTCTTCCCGAAGAAGGACAGGTTCTTCGGACGCATAAAGAACTTGGAGGAGGATCTGTGTCTCATTAAGCCACTGGGGAAGCTGAACAGTAACCAGCCAACGGGAATAGCGAAGCTGAACGAATGCCTGAAGCACGATATGATAATCGAAATGTTTGTGATGACCAAAGAAGGGTTCGTCGTTACGGACGATTCAATTTGCTTGGATGCGCCGGAAAAGGAGACGGATGGAGTCAAAACCGTGAGGATAATGGCTTGCAATTGGGCTAACAGGCAGAAATGGAAGTACAACGAGAAGGTAGGACCGTATACGATGTTTTGCATGCGACGCATCCAACTAACCTCCATCTCTACCTTCTTTGCTTTTGTTTTTTTGCAGACGAAGGAGTTCATTCACGTGAGCAACAACCTGTGCTTGGACGTCGCACCGTCCAAGAAGTACGAGGATGGTTTGGTCATCACCAAATGCATGAACACAGATACTCAAAAATGGATATTGGAAGCCGTTCCTTGGACATAATTTATTTCACACACACATCCTTTTTATATTAATTTACACATCTTTTTACAAATATTTATTGACTAAACTGCATTTTTATTTCCTTAATATTATTAATTTATTAAATTAATAATATCTAAAAATCACAACAAATATTTCTTAAAAACTCTCATACTTTAATAACAAACTTAATTGAAAATTTACACAAATATACTTATTTTTTTATTAAATTTACAAAGATTAATCATTTTTTCAAAATAATTAAAATTTTATACAAAAATACATACATTTAAACCACTTTCGGTTAACATTTTTTAATTAACTTAAATTTACAAAATTAACTTAAATTATTTAAAATTCAAATAAATTATTTAAAATTCAAATAAATTATTTAAAATTCAAATAAATTATTGAAATATTTTAGTTTTTTATACAAAAAATACATAAATTTAAACACAATATAGATTCATATATTTTTTTTACAAACATTTACAAATATTTTCAAATATTTATTAATTATTTATTTAAATTTTTTGATACAACAAAAAAATACATAAATCTAAACCTAATACAGATTCATATTCATTTTAAATTTGCATATGTGAAAAGACTATTATTGATCAAAACTGTATTGCAAATGCAAGTTCTTAGAATGTAAAGAGAATTATACAAATGTTAAATTGAGACATACATTCACAGTATATTCCAAAGAAAATGTCAGATTAGACACAGTTGTGTGTTTTGCTTATATTGTAACAAATTCCGCATTTCACACCAATGTAAACACAACAAATAAATTGGAAAATAATATTATGCGCGAATAAGCGACAAAAGATTAAAGAAATACTTTATGACTTCATTGAATCGCGTGTCTTATCCTATCTCTCTTTACATCGATAAAATTTTGAAATTAATCGAAAATAATTTCAATTGGAATCATGATAAAAATATTCAAAGTTTTAAATGTCAGATTTTTATATTTATTTAGAAATCATAGACATAAATAAATACTTTGATTTGATTACGATTAATTCAATTTTGAGTTGATCTGAAATTTGTTGATATTGATAAGTTTGTATATTAATTTTTGTATTTTTGTTCAATTTTAAAGTCAACTTTAGTGTTAATTCTAAATTTTTTGAATTCTGAATGATAGTAAAATTAATACTAACAAAGAAAAACATTATTATTGTTATAAATTGTTGATTTTTTAGAACTTTGGTCTAAATTTTTGATTGATGAATTAAAATAAGTTTGTTGTGGATGAAAGATGTTGTGAATAGAAGGAAATGAAGTTTTTATTAAATCGATAATTGCTTTGCGAAGTCAGCGCTGTATTTTATGAATTGGTTAAGTAATAGGTAGTGATGGAGGTAGTTTCCTTGTGAGGTTGGGCTCGAGGGGAAACGAAAATTTCCTTAAACGAAAAGCCCAATTAGTCAGGTCGAGAGGCTCAGGGTAATAACAAAGTGAGTCTAATAGGTTAGCATCAATCACTGTGGTATCGAAGCGATGCCGCAATCGGAATCGCACTCTCAAAAAAGAAACACTTAAGCGTTTTGGACATTGTTTTCCCCTCTCGTAATCTCGTGTTCTGCTCGTTTCTTTTGCACTCCTTTTTTTTGTTGTTGTTGTTGTTTGTTATTTTGTTTAGTTAGGTTCGCGCGTGCGGGCTAAAAACGTGATGCTCGTGAACGAGACCAGAATGGGTATATGGTATGTACGAGGAGATGGGTGATCAGATGGGAGCGAGTGGAAGAGGAAGATCGACCATGTGGATGGATGGATGGTTGGTTGGATGGATCGATCACTTATTATGCAAAGCAAGTGTGCACAAGATCGCAAGGACTGACCACCAGGTCTGCATGCACCTCCACGCCTGCCAATTAAACGTCGAGACCAATTCTTAAATCGGCTCGGTTTCGAGATTCCGATCGCGCGCGCGGTTAGATCAGAATCTCTTAGTGATACTCTTACATCGGGTACTTTCTCTTTTGGGGCCCCGAGAATCGTCGTCTTGCGCAAAAATCGCTTTGGCAAATTGTTATCATTAGCCAATTGGGCCGCGGCGCAGCGGCACGAGCCCCGGGATTGCCCAAGAAGAGAGGTCCGTCGTCGTTCGTCCGTCCAACACAGGAATGTTGCTTAATGCTCGCTCGGCTAAGACAACAAACTTCTCTTCTCTGCTCTGCTCTACTCTAATCTGGGATCATCTCTGGGTCTTTAAAGAACAAGATAGTCCACTTTACCATAAGCTACTGTTCCAGATAACGCGAATCTTGCGGCCGCATGCGGAGATTCCTTCCAACCCATTTACATTTTTTTTCCATCCATCCGCAAAACCAAACTCAAATATTATTACTACCTTCGACTCCATACACACACACACACGCACAGATCTACCGATCTTCAGCGACAGGTTTTTAAGGACATCCATTAAATTCGTGCTTAATGAACGATCAGCATTTCTGCACACAGAGCCGACGTTCCGCGAAACAAAAGCCATTACGAAAGAGCGACGAAAAACGAACAATGTATTCAACCCCGATGTTTTACATCAATCCTTTTCGAAGATGCTGCTTCAGCGCAGCAGGATTCATTCCGAAACGGCTTTTATCTAAACGGCTAATTTATACTTTGTTAAATCATCTTATCGTCGTGAGATTTCCAACTACCTTCGAGCAGATTCTGGTGCAGCAGATTCAAATATAAAGAACTGGATTACGCGCGATTGATGTGCCGCATGGTTTTAATAAATTTCGTCAATTTGCAAGAACATTAGCCCGTTTAGAATAACGGAAACGAGGTGAAGAACCAGTATTAAATCATTCCGGTTGTGCAGAGGAGGTCACATTTGTTGTTGTTGCTTTTTTTTTAAACTTAAAGCCTAACGAGTCTTACAGTTCACAAGCTGAAACTGCCCGACTTACAATCGTTTCGCTAAAACCGTTGCCTCTTTGTAAATCATTAAAACAGTACTTCGTTTGTTTATTTACCAAGTGTAAGGTGTTTTTACCTCAATAACTCGAAAGTTATGTAACTTTTTTTAAAATTTTATTATTACCTAAGAAGGGCTCTACTGTAATGCAATTTATTATGTAACCAAAGAATGAGAAATGGCGTTTTTTTATGTCTTCACATTTTATTAAATTACTCAACATCCACGTAAGTTAATTAGATGAGTGACTAGAGATGATTAGACTTAGTGTAAAGTGTTTTTACCTCAATAACTCGAAAGTTATGTAACTTTTTTTATAAAAATTTATTATTAGCTGAGAAGGGCTCTTAGCAATTTATTATGTAACCAAAGACCGAGAAATGGCGTATTTTATGTATTCACGTTTTATTAAATTATTCAACATCCACGTAAGTTAATTAGATGAGTGACTAGAGATGATTAGACTTAGTGTAAAGTGTTTTTACCTCAATAACTCGAAAGTTATGTAACTTTTTTTTATAAAAATTTATTATTAGCTGAGAAGGGCTCCACTGTTAGCAATTTATTATGTAACCAAAGACCGAGAAATGGCGTTTTTTATGTCTTCACGTTTTATTAAATTATTCAACATCCACGTAAGCTAATTAGATGAGTGACTAGAGATGATTAGACTTAGTGTAAAGTGTTTATACCTCAATAACTCGAAAGTTATGTAATTTTTTTTTAAATTTTATTATTACCTAAGAAGGGCTCCACTCATAGCAATTTATTATGTAACCAAAGACCGAAAAATGGCGTTTTTTATGTCTTCACATTTTATTAAATTACTCAACATCCACGTAAGTTAATTAGGTGAGTTAATACTCAAATTAAACTCGAAAGTCTCATCTTTCTAACGAGTTCACTTGCTAGTTTGTGCTGACATCGAGTATAAAAATATCAATGCTAAAAATGGTGCATTTTTCACGTTTTTTTATAAACAAAAAATTTAAAATTTTCATAACATAAATATTACATTACCAAGAATATTGTTAAATTTTGTAAAAAGAAACTGTTGTTGTTCGAAGACAAGAAATTTTTTTTTTTTTCAATTTTATTTTTTTTTATTTAGATATATGTACTGCAATAACATAGGGTGTGATATAAAAATGTAGACTGTTATGGACTTTAGCCTCTTTCAGCCTTCTGTGATTAGGGTTTACAAACAAGAAAATTAAAGACATATGTATTTGTTTACTTATGCATGCATCATTTTAGTATATAGAATTTCTTTCAAATAACTTCTTCATCCTTCCAGAATATCTCAGGTTTTTTTTGGTGTTTTTCTTTCTTAGTCGATAGAGTTAAAATTCTTGGCGTCAAGTGAATAGATTTTTTTTTCTGTAAATACGATATTGATGGCAGATGATTGAACTCAATATGCGAATAATAATTTCTCGTCGGGGCTTCGAATTATCGTCGGCTGATTAAGTCGTGTGGGATCGAAACCCTCTAAGACAGTTTAGTGCGTGGGTGGCGCGACGGTCATCATCATCATCATCTTCTTCATCATCTGTTTAAGCCACACATATTTTGCTGTTGTCATTGAAGACGGGGATATTTTCTTCGTATTACACCGAAGACGCGCATTACACGCATCGCCTCATCGCCACATTTTTCACTCGGTTCTCTCTTCCTCTGCGGCCGGGAGAAAGCAGCAATAAAATAAGTTTCACAACGCGCGAATGCCCTTTTAATTTAATTAACGCACAATTAGCACCGCCATAAAGTCCCGTCCTTTTTCCACATCCAACCCAGAAACGAAATAAAATGTATATAAAATAAGTGAGAAAACAAACCGAAATAAGAAATGTTAATTCTCGCTTCGTTTCAATTACAGACAAGTACAACAGACAACGCCGCTCGTTCGCTCGGGCTCATTGTTATGTAAAGGATTCCTGTAAATAATTCATCCGGCTTAATGAATAATGAGGCACCCGCCGATCGCTTGATTTATCCGCGATCCTTTGTTTTAATTAGTGTGGGCGGCGAAGACAAATCGACCGGAGGTCTTCATCTTCTTCGCGGTGCCCACGAGCCGCATTAAATAAACCACGCAATTAGTCAAAACATTTAATGCGGAGGACGGGCTCTCAGCTCAGCTCTT